CGATTATCACAAATTAGTAACAAAAGCTTTTGATTCACAGCTTTAAGATCAATATGCCTATAAATTTTGAAAGATTCATGCCCTATTTGGCATGAAATTTCAGAAATGGCGGAAACCCTAAACCCCGAATTTTTCTTGATCCAAAAACAACCAATTTTTCCACCATTTAATCCTTAAAAAAGTTGAATAAAGCTGTTTACAGCCTGCAAAACAGATCACATGCCGAAGAAAACAAAAAAAATGATCAAAAAATGACAAATTTGAAAAAATCCGTGAAGAACACTGTGCAACCCGTGTTCTTCACGGACTCGCCGATTCCGCACAGTGAATTGGCGAGTCACTGTGCGGAATCGTCCGGTTCTCTCTAGAACCGGACGATTCCCGGTTTTTGAACCGATCCGGTACCTTTTTCGTGAATTCCGAGTCGAACCGGGCGAGTCCGGTTCGACTCGACGATTTTTAAAACGCTGGTTTCCACTATTTTTTTATAAGTCTTGCATTCCAAGCAAGATACATGATATCTTTGAGTTTCTATATTTAGTGGGACCTTGATCCTACAATTTTAGGAAACAACTATATTTGAATATCTCTAATGTGTATAGAGATAGGGCGTGACGTGACCTATATTTGGATTCCTATTTTTGGTTAGTTCCTATTATTTAAGATGATTATTTTTTTGGATTAGTTCCAGCTGTGTTAGGATGATTCCTATTTTTGGGTAGTTCCTATTATTTAGGATGGTTCTTATTTTTGGGTAGTTCCTATTATTTAGGATGATTATCTTTTTGGGTTGGTTCCAGTTGTGTTAAGATGGATACGAGAGTCAACACTAGATAAATATAAACTTATTTATCCAAAAGTTATGGGAAAAGATAGAGCTGCACATACCATTATGTGTGGGTTGCTTTCCTCTATATATTGGGTAATTTAGAGAGAGAAAAGATTCAAAAAATAGCGGGAAACTTTTGGGAATTTTTGTAGAGAGAGAAAATTGTAGTGAAGAAAACTTTGTGGGAGATTGAGTATCTAGTTCTCTCAAATAAGTTGTCTTGTATTTTTTTTATTTATTTAGTAAAAAACATCGATTGTCTTCGCCCATGGATGTAGTCATATCTGTGACAAATCACGTAAATCCTGATGTTATTTTTCTGTTATTTATTTTCTGCTTTATTTTTGTTACTTGTTGCTTGTTTTCGTCGATTCTTTTTCTCGTACTTTATTTGTCAGAGCTTCTGTGCACAACAAATGGTATCAGAGCCTGGTTTGGGTTATCGGTATGGCGTCAAAGCCTTCGAATGCAAAGTTCGAGGTGGAAAAATTTGATGCATAAATAATTTTAGAATTTTGGCAAATCCATGTTTGGGATTTGCTAGTGCAACAAGATCTACAAAAGCTCTGAAAAGAAAGCCGAAGAAACCAGAATCCATGTCTGATGAGGATTGGGAAGACTTAGATCTGAGGGCTAGAAACATTATTCGATTGTGCTCATCGAGTGAAGTTCTATTGAATATCGTCAATGAGGATTCAACATCGAGCCTTTGGTCGAAGCATGAGAATTTGTATATGACAAAATCCCTCACAAATTGACTGTTTTTTAAGAAAAAATTGTACATCCTTAAGATAAATAAAAGTATAGATATCTATGAACACCTGAATTATTTTAATAAAATTATTTGTGAATTATTGATTTTTTGTGTTAAAAAGGAAGATGAGGATAAGACTATAATTTTGTTATCCCCACTCTCTCATTCGTATAAGCATCTAGTCACAACATTTCTCTATGGAAAAGATACTACAGAGATAAAAGATGTGACTTCGACTTTTCTCTCTAATGATTTGAGGAAGTTACATCGTAATATTCAGCCACATGTAGATAGTTTAGTGGCAAGATGGAGATCTGTTGAGAGAAATGAAAAGAGACAGGAAGCTCAAAGCAGGTTCAAATCCAAATCCAGATAAAAAAAATGCAATATTTGTTGCAATTATTGTAAGAAAAATGGGCATATAATAAAAGATTGTCAGAAACTCAAAGAGAAAAAAAGACGAGCTTCTAAAGTAGCCAATATAGTTGATGGAAGCTCAATAAGTGGAGAAGATAATATGTTGATTTACACATTGAAGAAAAAGGCAGATATATTTTAACACATTCAAGCATTGGAAAGCTATGGTCAAAAGATAGACTGGAAAGAATGTCAAGTGCTTGAGAACTGATAATAGTGGAGAGTACACTTCAGCAGAGTTTATAAATTTTTGCAAGAGAGTTTATCAATTGTGATGTTAAGTTTGATGAGTCTGTCATGTTAAACACATTCAGAAAGGTGCATAAAAAGAAAATTACAGCAGTAGTGATGTAGTTGAGGTGGAGTTGACAACTCCAAAAAATACTCCAAAATATATATCAGAATTCCCTGTGAGAGAGTGGAGGAAGATGTTGCGCATGATGAGGTCTTTGAGCCTACTCCACTTGAGGAAGAGCCTCATCTTGGAAAAGGGAATGATAATAAAAAAATCCAGTGGCGTGGTACGATTTTAAGGACATGATGGCTTATGTATTGGTTACCACAAGCCAAAAGCGATCCACTTTTAAGGAAGCTGCAAAGGATAGTGACAATAGCAGGTGGAGTGAAGCCATGGATGAAGAAATGAAATCTCTTCAAACTTGAGATCTTCTGAAGTTGTATAAAGGCAAAAGAGCCTTTGGTTTTAAATATGTTTATATGAAGAAAGATGAGTGACCTAAGACTGGTGGTAATCGATTTAAGACACGTTTGGTTGTAAAAGGCTATGTGCAGAAAGAAGGTGTTGACTATAATGAGATTTTCTCTCCAGTTGTGAGATACACTTCTATTCGGGTTTTACTATCTATAATTGTATTGTTTGATTTGGAGTTAGTGGAGCTTCATGTCAAGACTGCATTCTTTCATGGAGAGTTAGAAGAACATATTTATATGACTCAGCCAGAAGGGTTTGTTGTTAAAGAAAATGAGGACCATGTTTGCAAGTTAAAGAAGTCATTGTAAGGCCTCGCAGTCTCTTAGGCAGTGGTACAAGTTTTGGTACATTCATGATTGGACATATGTATGTCAGAAGTTCGTATGACAATTATGTCTATTTTAAGAGATTTACTGATAGTTCATTCATCTATTTATTGCTCTATGTAGATTATATACTTATTGCTACAAAGAATTCTTTAGAAATCAGTAAATTGATGACTCGGCTTGCCAGAGAATTTGAGACGAAAGATTTAGGTTCAAAGAAAATTTTGAGCATGAAGATTCGTAGAGATTGAAAGTTTGGTAAATTGTAGTTATCTCAGAATGAGTACATTAAAAGCTCCTCGTTAGATTCGAGATGGAAAATTCAAAGCCTGTATGTACTCATCTTGCTGCACTTTTCAGATTGTTGGCAGCATTATCTCCAAGTTTAGATGTTCAAAATGAATACATATCACATGTTCCCTTTGTGAGTGCAGTTGGAAGCCTCATGTATGCAGTGGTTTGCACTCGACCAAATATTTATCATGTCGTTAGTGTTGTTAGCAAGTGTATGGCTATTCTAGGAAAGGAGCATTGACATGCAGTAAAATGAATTCTGCATTACCTAAAGGGTACATCAGATATAGGTATGGTGTTTGATAGAGATAGCAAGTTTGGTGACAAGGTTATTAGTTATGTTGATTCTGACTTTGCAGGTGATTTGGACTATAGAAGATCTGCTACAGGTTATTTATTTACACTTGCAAGAGCTCCAATCAGTTGGATGTTGATGCTACAAATCATGGTTGCCTTGTCTACGACTGAAGCAGAATACATGGTTGATACTGAGGCAGTGAAAAAATCCATTTAGCTTAGAGGGCTTGTAAGAGATTTGGGCTTACAACAAGAAGGGACTGTTATTTGTTGTGACAGTCAGAGTGCAATACATTTAGAGAAGAACCAGGTATATCATGCAAGGACAAAACATATTTGTCATATACTATTTTATTCGTGAAATCATAGCTGAAGATCTTGTTACTAAAGATTGATACTAAGAAGAATGTTGCAGATATGTTGATAAAGTCGGTTCAGTTACAGAAGTTCAAGCTATGCTTGGACTTGACTAATGTGTTGCTCAAGTAAGCGCCTGTGGAGATCCGTGTGGAGAAGAACCGATGGGAATCTCTTTTGGAATCTAAGTCAAGGTGGAGATCTGTTGATATGTCTAGCATTCCAAGCAAGATACGTGACATCTCTAGGTTTCCATATTTAGTGGGAGCTTGATTCAACAATTGTAGGAAACAACTATTTGAATACCTCTAATTTGCAAAGAGATAGGGGCATCACATGACCTCTATTTGGGTTTCCTATCTTTGGGTAGTTCCTATTATTTAGGATGATTATCTTTTTTGATTATTTCTAGTTATGTTATGATGGAAATGAGAGTCCACACTAAATAAAGATAAACTTATGTACCCAAAATTTATGGGAAAAGATAGAGCCTTGTGTACCACATTGTGTGGGTTGCTTTATATATTTAGGTTATTTAGAGAGCGAAAAAGATCCAGAAAAATAGGGGGACATTATTGGGGGTTTTTACATAAACATAAAATTGAGAGTGAAAAAGATCTCAGAAAAATAGAGGGAAACTTTTGGAGGATTTTGTGGAGGCAAAAAATTATAGAGAATAAGGCTTTGTGAGAGATTGAGTATTTGGTTCTCTCAAGTAAATTGCTTATAATTTTTTTTCTTTGATTTAGTAAAAAAACATCGATTGTCTTCGTCTGTGGATATAGTCACATCTACGACGAACCACATAAATCCTGACGTTCTTTTTCTGTTATTTATTTCTTGCTTTATTTTTGTTATTTGTTTTTGTCGATTCTTTTTCTCGTACTATATTTGCCAAAAATCAACCCATCAGGTTTAGAGCTTCTGCGCACAACAATGTTGTCCCCACTAGAAGTAAGAACTATTCATGGTAGACAAATTTATTTATGATTCATTATCTTCTTTTTTCCACAGTTGACCACAAATGATAAGAGTCAATGGTTGCACAAACTCTTGAGCGGCGGATAGGGGAGCCTGTAAATGGTTGGTATCCATGAGGTTGAGAATTTGTTCTACTCCTTATTCCACTACTACTCTATATCTCTCTGTGAAATGATTTAGGTGCCAGAGGACAACTGAAATTATAAGTTGCAGCTCTTTTAATGTTTCAAAAAGCAAACTATGATTCAAACCATAAACCTTTTGAACGAGTTTTTGTTTTTGTAATAGGGTTATGAGCGTTTATGTCAGTTTCCAAATAATTGAGGGAGCAAAATGGACCATAGTTACCTGGAGCGCCCAACTAGAGTGGCGCTCTTGCTCTCGAACCCAGCTTCAACGCTCCACAGCCGGGATCTCGCTCGGATTCCCATTTTTTTGGGATTTCACTCCAATATTTAGGATTTTCTCTCCCGTTGACAACGGAGCTCACTCCTCCTACTTTAGAGATCTTGCTTCCATTAAACATGGATCTCGCTCCCCTCTACTTCATGGATCTCGATTCCATTCACAACAGATATCGTTCCCGCTAAAGCACAGATCTCGATCCCATACACAACAGATTTCGCTCCCTCTACTTCATGGATCTCGTTCCGTAACATTGTAGATGTGGCTCCTGAACAAATTAGATCTCCGCTCCAAGAATTTGAAGAACACGATCCCGATGTTCTCGGAACTAAATGCTAACCTAATAAGGATATGACCCCAATCCTATAATCTATGGAGCTCGCTAACGAGGAAAGCGGATCCCGATCCCGAAAGTATGAGGTTCTCTATATTCATTTTCAATTATAAAATTTTAATCTCCAAAAATGGTTTAAATCAAATAGATCCAAAAGCCTATGTAAATCTTGAAAATGGACGGTCTAGATAAGGTAAAGCTTTCTATGTTCCCCCTACAACATAGAAGTTCTATCCTCCCCCTTATCCAATCGTCCATTTTTTAATGGAGGTCTAAGATTGCCCCAATCACAATGTCACGGCTCTACACTGTTTTATTTTTAATGTTTTTTCTATAAACTGTTTTGACACCAAATTTTGGACTTCCATTCCTCTTTTAAACTATCACGAACGAAAAAAATATATATAAAAAATATTTTCAATGAAATAAAATGACCAAAATACCCTAAAATTTTCAAGGGGTATTTTGGTCATTTTATTTTATCAAAAAATTATTGTTAATATTTTTTATAGGTGTGCCCCAATGAGAAGATGGTACCAAATTTCATATTCAGAAAAATTGTATTGAAAAAACTAAAAATAAAATACTTTGAGACGTTGGATCTTAGATCAAACAGTGAGTGGCTCTTTTGATAAAAATGGACGGCTGGATGGTAGGGGGAGGATAGAACTTCTATGTTGTAAGGGGAACATAGGAAGCTTTCCCTCTAGATAATGTGTTGCAAGATTCAAAATTTATAGTACAATTGAAGATGTCACTACATTCATCAAATATCTCGCTAAAGATTAATGGGGTCTAGCAATAGACTTTTCTACCAAAACAATTTGCGGTACATAAGCTAGTGCACTGCACACACAACAATTAGAGGTTTTCCTTGGAGATAGAAACACTCAAATATAGAGTGAAAAAGACAAAGTCCAAAAGGCTCAAACATAGAGAGTGAAGAAGACAAGATGTAGAAAGACTAAGTATCAGTTTGGATGTACCCAAAATTGTAATATTCTTAGATGCCAATATAAAAAGATAGTAAGAACCGTTTGGAAGGATAACTACATAAAGTTTTGTAGTCCATTAAAAAAGGGGTGAGGTTTGTATAAGGTGTCAACCTTATACTATAAGGTAAGGTGTCAGTCCCTCATGTGTTAACCGGGTGATTACTACCAACCCTTTTTCAAGAGAGAGAGAGAGAGAGGGGAGAGAGGGAGAGATTGAACCCAATAATTAGGATTCAAAAAATTGCAATAAGGTGAAAAATCTCATAAGACCATTGTTTTTTGATACAAAGTGATCATATTCACTATCGGTCACTAGATCACAAATTATGTGGCTTAAAGTATGCATGACTTTCTTCAAAATACAAACGAAATGAGTCGTATATAAAGGGAAAAGTTTATTTAGAGTCGAGGCTCTAAACAATCAAATTCGAGCCTACCTCAAAAATTTCACTAGAAGATATTGTTTTCATGCACACATATCCTCAAATTCATCATCTCGATATCCAGATGAAGGGGCATGATAAAAAAATGGATTTCAGGTTTTAGAAATAGTGTATTTTGTAACGCACCTTTGGACCGTCAAATTTCAAGATTTTCAAGTTCTCATAGATCTCTCGATTTACATTATTTTTGACGTTTAATCTTTATAAATGTAGATGAAAATATAGTTTAAGGCTATCAAAATGATTTCCGGTATTGAAACCATATTTCTCGACACTATTTGAAAACTGGCTCTAATTCGATTGTTTAGAGCCTAGGCTCTATACACACCGCAACCGTATATAAATGTCTTTATATATATAAGTGGTCAATAACATGATAATAAATTTTGTATGAGGTTCTCTTACCCAACAGTTGCAACCCACGACTTTGAGTGGGGTCAACTCATCAAACTAAGCGAATTGGATCAACAGTCGCTACCCACAATTTGGTGGAATACACTCCTCAAACTAGGCGAATTGGGTAGCAATAAAATTGGGCAATAGTTCATTACGTAGTCTATCAAGAAATGTGTACTATTCATTATAATACAGGGTATAGTATACCCAATATTATAATGAATAGTACCCATTTATGGAGTTTCCTTATGTGTAATTTGAAGATATACCCGACCTTGTAACGGTTCTATCCCCATAAATCATATGCGGAGACATGGGCATACTGAGACTCAAATAAACATTTAACAGCATGGAAACAACAAAAGAAATATGGGTTCTCAACATGGGTAGAACTGAATAAATATAGGGACTATTTGTCGCATCTGCATGAACACAAAAACGCCCAATGTGCATGTCAAACCTTGGTTTGAAAGGCCTCGGATCACCAAGAGATTGATCCATCAACTCTACGTGTCTTCCATCAGACAAGTTTTGATGGTTCAATCTCTTAAAGAATATATTTCAAAATACCTAAATTTCCTATGTTGGCCGATTATGAACGTCAAATAAGCAATAACCATTCAGTAAATTAATTGACATAAGAGGTCCCAAGCAAAAGAAGGGAGCACCCTACTTGTTCAAAATATTAACATAAAGTTATTTAGAATATTAATATAGAGCTACTGATAAACTAACAAATACAACAGTGAATGAGGAAGCAGAATGAATCAGCAGAAGAAGGCAGCTAGAAAAAGAACTCCACATATCAATCACATCAGTGAATGTAGAATTCCTTCCCACCCCTGGTGACCCTTGAAGGGCCAGGAGACAACTGCTCATTGGGGACTTCGGCGAGTAGTCTCTGAACGTCTCTCTTTCAAAGCCTCTTCCTTCTAAGTACCGGGCTCCAGTTCAGCTCGGAAATTGGAAGAGCTTCCTCAACAACGACTACTTCCCCAGTGAAATCCACTTTCATGAATTTCAGCAGTTTCTCCTTCTTCTCCTTGGCCTCCAACTTCCTATATGGTCATCGCGACCAATTACGAGATCGAGGGGAGAGGTCTTCTTCTTCAGAAGAAGACTCTGTGAGTAATACTTGAGGGAGGCCGACGGAGGAGGCCAGAACGAGACCTCTCTGAAGATGTTGTTGGGTGGCAACTTGGGAACGGGTCTTCAAGGATAAGTGACCCCAATTAAGCTGGGTCTCCCATTCAAAGATAGTCTTCGCCAATGTACCTCGATGCAATTCATGCAAATCACTTGCATCTTCAAAAATAATTTCATGCTTTTCCAAATCTACAATAGTATTTGAACAGGCAAGTAAGAAGACATAAGTTAGCAAAGAAGGCAGGTCGCATGTAACTATTAAAAAGTCAGGTGTTGCATAAACATGTAACTGCTAAAAAGGGAGTATCTACCATACTATTTCACTTATGTCCATTTAAAAATTCATACCTTGAAATTAATGAAAATATTAAAATTTGATTTCTCAAAAACACCTAAATAACTAAATATACAATATGCACACATGAGTGGATTTGGTTTGGCAGTGTTGCATGCCGTTTCCACGTTGGCAGTGGTTAATAAATAAAATAGCCAACATAGCAGTGGTATCTTTGTAGGATAGCCAAGATAAAATAACTGCAGAAGAATAAACTCTATTTGGGAGGAAGCAATGGCAGGAGTTGCTCTCTGGTGTTCTCAAGACCCAAATCGCATTTTCTATCAAAAAATGGGTGTGGTTTCTATAAGCCTGCAACCTTAAACAATCAAAATAAGGTGCAGCTCCAAATTAAAGTTATATAATCTAATTTTGGTTGAAAAAACTCTAAGGACCATTTGGAGTTCTATTTTGAAATCTAATAATAAAATTTTAAATTCCAAAAATGGTTAAAATCAAGTGGATCTATAAACATATGAAACTCTTGGAAATGAACATACTAGATAATGTGTTGCAATATCCACCATATCTAGGACTCAAAATATATATATATTTTTTTTTCCTATTCATCCATCGTGATGCCTAGATGATCAAATAAAGGGTTTTTCAATGTTAAAACGATTTTTTTGATGGATTTTTGAAGGGCATCTAATTCTACTGGCAACCTTTTATAAACTTTTCCCTATTACAATAAGGGTGTGGTTGGCATATAAATGAATATGTAGCAGTAAAGGTAAGCTTGAAGCAAATAATTTAAAATCTCAAGTCTAAGAACCCCCTCACAATATCAATGAAGTGGATACAACCTAAATGGAACTTAAAGACATAACATAAACCATTCTTTGGACATGCAACGAAGCCAGAAGTTAGAACTCAGAAGTAAAGATTTCAAAGGACTCATGAGTGAGATCTGATTCATCTGAAAGCTCCAAGACTATAGTTAGCCCTATAAAACTTATTTTAATTGAAAGTAAAAAGAAAGAAATGGCTAAATGTGAAGACCAGTATAGTTTCACTAAAAGCAAGGTGGTCTGAACTTTACTCTGTAACTTGCCAAGG